CCCCAAAACCCCAAAACCCCAAAACCCCAAAACCCCAAAACCCCAAAACCCCAGAGCTACCAGATTTTATTGGGATTGCTAAATAATATCATTATGGAATGTAGATGAGGTTCCTTCTGTCATTTGGGTCTCTTCTCAGGTATTCCCTCTCTATTAATCTTTCAATAGACTGTTTAATCATTTGCGGCTGTGGTTTAAAAAGGAGTGGCTGATCAAGAACGACAGTAATGAGTTGGCCATGGTTGCAAATCTTTCTTGCCTTCATTATTCTTACTATGATAGAGTCTAAGATGAGGGTTCTGTCTCTCATGATTTCTTGTTCGATGTGGTTTTCAATTTCTGCATTTTGTTGGTTCTGACCCAAGCTCTGAGTTTTGGGGGCAAGACTGATTTTTAGAAGCATATTTGAAAATTTAGTGTTAAACTCTAAAACCTCGTCATCGGTAAATTTCGATGTCTTTAGATTTTCCTTAGAAATCAGCTCTATTTTTGGGTTACATAACTTTTTGAGTTGTCTTGAAAGCTCATCCCCAGGTAATCCTGTTATCTCTTTTATCTGAGCAACTGTAAGTCTGTTATGACCATTGAATAAACAAAGAATAGCAGCTTGGTAGCAAGATATCTTAAGAGTGTATGTTTTTAGCAAAGTCAATGTTTCCATCTCAACACTAGAGAAATTGTGAAGCCATTTAAGATGCTTTCCACTATGCTTTTGCTTATAGAAAGTCTCAAACATTTTGCAGCAGTTCGACAGTTCAGCTGGTATAGTTCATGAATAGGGATCACCCTGTTGGATAATCCCTGATGTTAGAACATCAATATTGGTTGGTATTCCATCAATCTCAGTGCTCCCTTTGTTAATCTTCCTGAACTCATCCATGAAATCTTTTGATAAGTCAATGTCACTGACTATTTTGGATAGTTTGATAAATGTATTAATGCCACTCTCAGCCTTTAATTTAGCAATCATTAACTTCTCGAGATCTGTTCTTAACATTCTCCTATTTAAAACTCTTGAAGAGAGATGCAAAGTATAGATTTTGATAAACAAATCTTTATTTTGGAGATACCCAAAAAGGTTCACTATTTCATCGAGACTTTGCTCGATATCCTGATCTTCCATTTCTTTAATCCCTTCCTTGAGCAAATAATCACATTGTTTAGCAAATCATTGTGAAGCACATGGTAGTTTGGCTAATAGATCAATGAATCACTGATTCCTAGCTCTGATCGCTTTTTGGCTATTTTTGAAGCCCTTTTCAATAATCAGGTCAGTCTCCTTCTTGAGATCTATAATAGCTTGTGTAAATAAAGCTGAGTCTTTGTGCAGATCTTCATTTTCTATTATTTCTTGTCCTAGTCATTTGCTAATGTAAGCCTTCATTTCGAAGAGGATCAACTCAAAAGTCGAGTCTAACCTTGAGAAGAAAGAACACATTTTACTATATTGGTCAAACTTCTTGCTTCTAAGCATTTCTCGAAGCCTCTCTTGCTCTTGTTGGATCAAGGTTTCGGCAGATTTACCTATGAAAACTTCATTCAGGATTTTTGAGAGTTTTGGCTTGGTTTTTGGGTGTATTTGGTTGTCTTTTATGTAATTATCTGCCATTTGTTCCTCAAGTTCAATCTTATCAGTAGCAGAAATGATAAACTCAATGTTGTTTAAAGACTGAAGCCATTCATTGCATATGGTCAAGTAATACTCTTTAGAATTTTCAAGGAAGCGATTTTCAAATAGTTCGTCATAATCTTGGAAGTTGTTTATTTGCCCAACCCATTTGAAATTTTCTCCAACTTTCTCTATTTTGATTTCACCCTCACATCCACTGATGAGTAAAGATTCGATAACTCTGTGATTGAGGTTCCAGCTGATGTCATCAGCATGTCTTAGCGTAACTATCTGGTTGATCAATGCTTCTGCAAGTTTCTTTTTGATTTCTCCATACACAATACTTTTGAATGCTTTGTTTGCAAATACTACAGTAGATTCAATTTGGTTAAAGCTTAAGTAGTGTCTATTGATTGGGCTGAGTATTCTTGATAGCCACCTAGCTTGGACATTATATTTTTCGAATTCTTTAGTGTACTCTTCGACGAGTTTGTCTCCTTCAGTATTATAAATTTTGACTCTAATTTCTCTATAAAGCTAAGAAAGATCAAAATAAAAGTTTACTTACTTTCAGTAATTTCAGATTGTCTTTATGTAGAATTCATATAGATAAGAGGGATATTCAGGATGATCTGCTAGCTTGTAAACTGCCCTATATAACTTGAATTAGCAGTCTGATTCTTCTAATTTTTCATGAAATGTAAAAAAAAATTGTAATTTAAGCTCCAGTACCTAACTCAAATTAAGAGAAAACTGAATAAATAAACATACGTGTATAATTTCACAAATGTGTCATTCTTCTTTCAAATCTCGCTTGCTTCCACTGACCCATCAACAAGCCCAATAAACTCAATAATTTGGTCAACAACTTGATCAATCTCCATTTCCTCATCAGTCATGTCTAAAAACAGTCAATACCTCTCCCCATTTAACTCCAAATATCCCTATAGCCCAACCCCAGTCATGCAGTCATCGCATGGCCTGAATTACTCTGGTCCATTTGTAATTTATAAAATAATAATAAATCTATCTGATTTGCTGTATTTGGGGTTTTGGGGTTTTGGGGTTTTGGGG